CCAGTTGTTTAACCGTATTAGGTGATAACAATAAAGATATGATTTTTCACATAGTAAAGAGTTTGAATACCTTCTTTTTGTAGTTGATTGAATGTTTTGATTGAATAAAGTAAAATAACAATTAAATAAATTCTTATCTGACCATTTTTCACGAAAAATGTCCTACAGTGCAATAACATTGAATCAAAACTGTTACAGTTCTTATTAAGAGCATGCTAAAACTCGAAAGAAACTTTGAATATCAAAACCTGTTTCACTTCCACTAATGTTTCAAATTTTAAAGTTTAGAGAAAAATAAACTTAGGTACTAATTGAGTAAACCATGATATTTCAAATGCTGATCTTGTTTTTAAAAATATTACTTATTATTAAAGGACAATTTCCAACTACGTAATCCTAATAATCCAGCCATAATTTGCTTGCATTTTAAAAAGGCAACTTTCATCATTTGAAACATTATAGTTCACTCTAAGTTTACTCTTGCTACATTTTCACTTTTCTACGCTTAATTCTACTTTTTCTGCACTTTACTTTTAAATTACTTATGTAGGAGAACAAAAATTTGCCATGAAAAGTTACTCTTTTGGTATAGTGCCAACCTAAGAACACTAGTTTAGTTAGAATTTAAAATTTTCCATTATGAACATAATTCTGACTTATCTTAGACCCACTTACGTTCAATCGATATATTTAATAGGCCATTACTATTTAATTAACAAGCTCTGAATTCGATATCAGACTTTTAGCATTTAAAAGTCGTTACAATATTCAGCATTGCGAACATTTTATAGAACCAAATCATTGATTCCCTATCTAGTGTTTTTATGAGCTTGTCCTAAATTCGTTATTCAATGAAAGAATCACGAAGCAACTATCTTAAAGGAGCCTGGAATATCTTTTTTTAAAGCATTTTTAGATAATATTCGATATAATAATTTTTTTAAACGTTTAAATTTTAAAAAAAGTAGTTTTTTAAGTTTTTAATGCTGAAAAATTATTGTGCTTTAATGTTTACATAAAAATTTAAATTATCCAGACTAAATGAATCTCCATCATAAGAAAATGAAAATTTTGAAATAAAAACTTTTTTTATTGTTTTTTAAAACAATTATGTATCGATGTTGAAAGCATTATTTCCGAATTCCTGAAAAAGAAAATAAAGCAAAATACGTCTAATGCATATATTTCAAATTGCAATGAGTTATCTGGCTTTTTCTTTCTCGCTTATGAGCGAAGTTTTGATAGTCAAGCAGTTTAGATACTTGACATTTTTTATTTTGTTGAAATTTTTAGGATATGCTCTACACGTAAAACTATTAGACATGTATTTTTTTATTGTTGCGAAGAATAAAATAATTTTCTTCAAGTTATAAGAGTAAAAACTGCAGGAAATTTTTCTGAAAAACGCATCAATTTACAGGGGAAAAAAAATTTTGCGAAACCAGGCAACCACAGTATTGACCACTTTCTTATGTCCTGCTATTTCCACATAAACTATTAAGACATAAGTGTTTTCATTGGATCCGTGTTACAAAGTTCAAAGATCATTTAAAGATTTTCAAAACTCGGCTATTTTCTTAGACTTTGAAAGTCAACTTTGTACCGTCGGTGCACCAGAAATGAATATATTTCTGTGAATATATACTAATGAGTGTTACCAAAAAAAAACGCAAATGCAGTTTCATATTTGGCGCGTCCTTACAATTGGCCATAATGTAGCAAAAAACTGAAAGTTCGCAGAAATTTTAAGGTCATTAACTTGCCTTGCCTAAACAAGTATGAAATTAGCTGTAAAAGTAGCTTTAAGTCGAGAAAGAGGCAAAGATCCATGGTCACATATTTATAGTTAATGATTTTAATTTTTAAAAAATATAACTTTGAGACAGTTACCTGATTAATTTAATATAGAAGCAATCATAAGAAAGCTGTTAATTATTTTAAAGATGTGATTTGACTTAATATGAGTAAATCAATTTAAAGATTCGGAATTTTTGAAATTCATTGAAAGGATTATACTTTATTTTCTCGCTTAGATATTAATTTATTATCCTTTAAACTAATATTATAATACTTTTACAATGTATATAATTTATTCTTTTAATAATTGATACCTTAGCAAACTATCTAAGTTAGAAGGAAAGAATGCGAATTTTCTTTTCTTAGAAGACTTAGCAAATTCACTCAAAAATATTGTTGTTCATTAAAAATTAAATAACAAAAAGGAACCAAAATATTTTCGAAACAGTTTATAGAAATGAGATGGAATTGTTGAAAAAAAGAAGTTGTTTCAATTCGTTATTTGAGTTGCATTTGTAAAGAAGAAAAATACAAAACACATGAATATACAGAGAAGGAGCGAAGATAAAAAATCATATTGACTCATAAAAAAATGCCAACCAGAGTTTCAAACATGTTACATTTTGTGTTCCTTTTCATGCTGAGTTTTCTTTAAAGACTGAATTTTCTTTCATGACAGAAAAATGCTGTCACAAATATTATTATCAATTTTTTCATTGTTTTTGTTGAATGGAATGAAAGCTGTAGTTATTTACATTCATATCACCTACACTGAGTAAAAATGTATGTTCGAACCTACCAGAATACGGTAGAATTTATCATGTTTCTGACTCTATGAGAACACCAAAAATCTCTTCCATATTTACCGAAGATCTATAGTTATGATTTTGGTATAATTAATAATAAAGCATAGTTTAATAATATGTTATAGAATTTAGTAAAATTTTGGTAATGATATCATGACACCTTAGAGCATGGCATCGAAACAAATTATTCGCTTAAATTTACTTTTGTTCTTCTTATATTATCTGAGGTAATAAGAAATATCTCTACCCTAGAGTACAGTAATTCTACAAGGATGTTTTTTTCCATGTACAGCATATTAATAATATATAATTTACAAATATTTATATTAAAATCTGAAATTTATTAAGTTTTTATAAAATAGAAAATTCTGTCAGGAAAATCTTTTATTAAAAACTGCTTTTTTTTGAAATTATACTCAGTTGATCTGAAACTATAAGTGTATCTCTTGAATATGCGCAATATGTACATTCTTAGTATATGTCAATGTAATAACATTCAACAATTCAAAAAAAAAAAAATAATATTCAATGGAGCAATTTGGATGTATGTCCCCCACCCCCGCAAAGCATGAGGGACATATTTGTTATCTTCTAATTATGATTACAATAGATAAGTCAAGGAATCAGGACTTATCTATGTTATTTATTCCTCGTAATGCTATTAATTCATTCATTTAATTTTTTCATTTATTTATTCCATTTATTTATTCTTTTTATTCATTTCACTTATTCTGTCTATCAGACAGTCGCTCAGTTATTTATTTATTAATTCAGTAATTTATTTTGCTAGTTTTTGACTTGCTCAAAAAATTGATGGAAGAATGTAAATTTAGAAAGTCAAGTTTTAAAAAATATACTAACAGTAGAATCTTGTTTCAAAATCAAATTTTTCCATGAAAAACAGTTGCATTTAATGAGTTGGCCAAAATCATAAGGCATACATGTAGCTAATCATAACATGTTTTTAAACCGAAAATATTTGCGTTTTTTTTTTCAAACTTAATTATTTCTTCAGTTAATCAATGATAATCAAAAAAACTTCGAGTATTGAGGTGTAAAACTTTAAAACCATTTTTTAAAACCATGTAATTTTGATTTAAAAAAAATAATACTTGAATGGCATAGAGGAAAAAGAATCTCAAAAAAGAATCTTTAGACATTTATTTAAAATTTAATATTTTAATATTAAAAATTTCAAAATTTATCTTAAGATTTAATTAATTTTTTAAACTATATATTTATATTTTTCAAAAAAAAATAATCCATATCCTTGTTTTTTAAAAACTTGAAACAGACTCAAAATATTTTTTTATAATTATATAGAAATTTAAAATAATTTTTAATTTAGGATTTATAAATAATTTTTTCGAAAGAAATTAAGCATTTTAAGCTGTTGAGTCTTTCATTATATGGATTTTTTTTATTGAAATAGAAGTACCGATATTAAATAAAACTATTACTGCATTTCCGAATTTCTTAAATTACTTACTAAAAATTTTCAAAGAAGGAAATAAACATGAAATATATTTATTATAAGAAATCTTTTTTATTAATTACTTAATCCAAATGGATCAATGCAGTTATTAAAATAAACAGAAAAATTCAACAATATTAGATTATTATTTACGTAAGGAAACAGGTATGTAACAGTAGACTTGCATATGATGCTTACATAAGCGTATCAGATCTGCGGAATATAGCCTGCATATTACTGTTTAAGTACATTTGAGCCTAAATAACTTATAAATGAAAAAAATAAATTTTTATTTGAAAAAATTTGTTTGTTTAGATTCGCATTAAGTTTAGAATGGTCCTTAAAACTCTTTTCATTTGTCGAATAATTAAGAGCATAATAGAAATAGTCATAAATTTGTATTCACTACGGTGCTTAATATTTCCAAATAAATCAATCTAATAACGAAATCAAAAATTTTGAAATTAAAATATTAAAGTTAACTTTATTCAAAGTTTTCAACTTTAATGTTTCTTAAGGACCCTATGTACCCTGTAATTAGCTCTACTCATTAAGGAAATTGATTTGAATATTTTATTTGCTGCATAAAAGCATCTCGTTCAGAAAAAAGCAGCTTACTTACACTGTTTAAAAAAAACTGATTTTCCAAGCAATTTAAGAGACATCTTTATGTGATACATTTTTAACTTTCTTAGTAAAAAGTGTCAAAATTTAACTCTTTTCTAAAACTTGTGAAATAAAATAGTTAGCAAATTAAAGATTTGTTATAAAAAAGGACCTTCGATTCTGATTGTCTAAGCTTCATTGTTTAATGAAGCGCAAAGCTCTTAGCACTTGATGTACCAATGTTGAGACTTTCAGAACGTTGATTCTATATAAAAAGGTTTGCAAACTGTAAGAAAATCAAATCACTTCTACATTTTCAGAAATTATACGAAAACAAAACCTTAATACTTCAAACATGGTAAGCAATTTTAATATGCTAATATTATTAAAAGTAATTTCTCTCAAGCTCACTATAACTCTAAGTTTTATTAATTTCGTTCTTCAAAATATATTTGCTTTTTGTATTGCATATAAATTTGCAATTGATTGGTACAAAAATTTGAATACAAGAAATACTTCATTAAAATACCTTTAACATCTTTGCTTAATTCTTAATCAAGTTCATACATCGATTTATTTTTAAATGAAGTTGATAGCATTAAATAGAGGGAAACAATATTGATAATTTTCTTAAACTTAAAAATTTAAAACAATTTATGCATCATTTAGATGACGGTAAATTCAGACAACTCCTTTTTTATATTGTAATTAAATTTTAAAGTGAATTCAATTAATTTTTAAAAGAAAAAAGTTACCAAGTTGTTCCATTATTTCTTCTAGATACACTTATTTAACGCTTTATCACACTACATAATTAAAAGAGAACTTAACTTGTACTTTTAAAGACAATCGTTTTAAATTCGAGAAACACACGTATAGTACATTATTTTATAAATATCGATGAAAGCAGGCGCAAAATAATAAAGAAAAGAGTGTGACATAAACAGTGAGTAGAAAGAGTTCGGATACGGTCGAACATATCGATAAATATAGGCCAGGTCGAAAAAAGGGTATAAATGCATTCAATATTTTTAAAGCTACCTAATAGTACAAAACTCGATTGCTCACCTGTGCCCCCTGAGAAAAAATTATACAAGCTTTTAAACCCTAATTATGCACCCTCAAATTTTATTGCAGATTCGGATTCTCCAGAGAAATGTAACCCGATTCGACCAATTAGTTTATGCATTTTTCTTATTCAAGAGGCTACAAAGAACAAAATTTAAAATTTTGCACTGGCTATTTAAAATTGCGATATCTCGAGACCCTTCAGAATGAAAAAAAAAGGAATAAATTTGTTTCGGGTTTTTTTTGTTTTCCAAAAGCTAAATTTTTAAAAAAAATCTATGAAATATTAAAGATTGTCCCTTCCATGTTCTTAATCTGATGATTCCAATTGTTTTAGAATTATCATTTCAAATTACCTGAAAACAAAACTAACTTCACGTGTCACAAAAAGAGGCGGGACTTGCTGATGACGTTAGAATTCACTTTCCATGTAAATGGAAAGAGCCAAACCAATTGCAAATTTTATTTTGTAATTAGCTGGTTAAGGGACAATGAATAAATTATTTAATATTTTGAAGCTACACTTTTGCTTTGTCGTAATATAACATGACTCCACATTTTTTATACAATATTTTTTTTTTTTTTTTATAACCGTCTGTAATCAGCAAACCCAATTTTGAGTTTACTACTACCAATGTTCAAATTCGTAGCCTTGTATTTTTGAACCCAATCCAAAAAACAAAGGATCTCCTCAATCAAGTATTGGGAGAAATTTTGCCTTCGTGGAGGACTTTTTGATGGAACTAATTCGCATTTTCGATACATGGGGACGAAAACCACGAATACCTATCACGGTTTGCCTGACGGAGAGGTAATTCTAACCCCTGATCCTTTTCCCACTGATGATATTTTACGACAGCACTGGCTGGATGCGGAATTCCTATCGACCAGCCATCACTGGGATTCGAACCGGGTTTACCTCATTGGAAGGCGAAATGCGTAATAATCTGAGTCACTACGATTCTCACTTGCAACAATTGTAATATTTTTATACATCCCAGACACTAAATTGCATTCTTTATAAGCCCATACAATTTAATATCTGGCTAGATCCTTACTAACAGCCAATGGATGAATATATCTTGCGGTACTTTATTTTTATTCAGCCATTACATAACAATATGTATCAGCTCCATTATATTGATTTGGAACAAATTTAAGGCGTAATTTAGGATTCAAAAAATTTGTAAAAAATCTATCAAGGTTAACAGAATTATAATGATTTAAAGAAATCAATCATTTTGTTAGAATCCCGTACTAAAGCAATCAATGAAACATAAACTATTATTTGTATAGCTTTATTTTCTTCTATTAAAACCAATTTCATAAAGGAATCTAAACTAATCATAAAATTTTTAAAGGATAAAAAATCTATTTGTATTTTTGGAATTTTTCAAAATCAATTTTCTTTTTAAAAAAAAAATTATTTAAAAAAAAAATTTAATGATATAATGTTCAAAGATGATAACAGTATGTATAAGATGGCGTTTCTAAATATGTACAACTTCGAACATAATTATGTATTTTTAATTATTGAAATTCGGAATTGGGTAAAAATAGAATTTTTATTGTTTTAAATGATCGCAATGATTTTTTTTTCAATAGTTTTATACACATAAATGGTTTCTACTAAATAAAATCTAATCATAGACGGTTTTTATTCATAGACTTTTGATTTTTAATGAAAAAGTATCTTTTAGATCTTAAAAAGGGAACCAATTTTAATTAATGACCTTTTCTTACAGAAAACTGCGTTGCTCTTGATTTCCACTATTTGCATTTTCTTACTCATATCTGATGCAATGTGCAATCCTGAACCGAAACCTCACCATCATCATGGGCACCACCATGGGCATCATCACCATCATGGACACCACCATCACCATGGACATCATCATGATCATCACCATGATCACCATCACGGCCATCATCACCACCATGGTCATCACCATCATGAGGGTCATCATCATCATCACGGACACCATCATTAAAATTGAGCTGGATTTATCTACAATGACCTCCAAACCAAATTTAAGTTTACTACTGTAAAATCAATTTGTAAAGTTTTCTGAACTATAATGTAATTTTTAACGAAATAAATGTGCAACATAAAAGGTTTTTATTTTTTAATTAAATTAACAAATTTCAGCATAAGAGATTATAATTTAAACAAAAAATAAATATTAACTTATACAACTAACGATGAAAAATATTAAGATCAGATTTGCTTGTGTATCAAATTATTCTTTGTTTACTGAACCAAATTCATGTAAGTTTGAGTGATTGTATATCTGAAAACTTAAATTATCAGCACATGGAAGAAAAGCCATAGTGAGACACGACGAAGCCCTTACAGTGCAGCATATAAAGACTTATAAAAAAATTTTAAAAAAATTTGAAACAGTTACAACGTCACCTCTAGAAACTTTAACGAAATCCATAAAACTGTACAGCTCAAATTGTATTGAATTTTGGATATTCGTATCTACAATCAACTGATCCCGACTATTTTAAATTCAAACGACAAATTAAATTTACACAATTTGCCTGACAAATCGACACATAATTGTAAACAAAGGTTTTCTAATCTGAACGAAATAAATTCAAAATATTGTTCAAGATTATTCCAGATTCGAAATATTGTTCAAGATTGATATGCACCTAACGCATCTAATTCTGTAACTATCTTCAATAAGCTGTCCTAATATAAATGATTTGGTCAGAAAAGATCCGATTTGAAAACCACTTTAATTAACTTATTAATGGCTATTTAATGATTATTATGAATTAAACTTTTCGAGTAATTCATTTTATTAGCAATAAACACTATATTTTGATTTTTGTTTTATTTTTATATTACTTCCCATTCCTTCAGTGCCAAGACATTTATGAAAATATGTGCTACTTCAAAAATATCACATTCAATCAAAAATCTTTTTTTGTCAATTTTAATATGTTTTAGTATTATGGAGAAGCTAGAAATGATAAGAATATTTCCTTTGCTTTCGAAAATGATTTTCTATAAAAGCAAGTATCCCCGGTCTTAAAATGTCTTCGGCGTGCTTATTACTCAGAACTCAGCTCAAACTGCGTGTTTAAGAAAATGTACTCAACGGAATCAGAAAAATGAATATTCAGAAAAATAGACACAACCTGAAAGGAATGCTTAAGAAAATAGACCTCGCTATTTAAGAAAATTAGCATAGCCTTTAACATAGTTAACATAGTTTCGCTTTTCCAATTTCTCATAAAATTTTTCACGTTTTAGAGAATAATCTAATGAAACCGTTAATATATATGCCTATTTGCCTATATCGCGTAGCGAATTTTTTTAAAAAATTAGTATTTTTTCCAAAATAACCAATATTAATCTATTATATTTTTAAAAAAATCTCATTTAGTCCGAAGCATAAATAGCATCAATAAACGGACACTTATCAAATTCTTATTATAATTTTCAAAACGGGAAAATTTTAAGAACTAAGTTCATTTTTTTCTGAGTTCTCTTTAATGACTGAAAATTTTAAGACCTAAGTTATTTATTAGTACTAAGTATCATTTAAAATCATTGAAAGGATTATACCTTTTTTTCTCTCTTGGATAGTAATTTATTACCCTCTAAACTAATATTATAATTCATACAATGCTTTTAATTTAATTCTTTTAAGATTTGATACCTTAGCAAAATATCTAAGTTGGAAAGAAAGAATGAGAATTTTCTATTCTTAGAATACTTAGCAAATTCACTCAAAAATATTGTTGTTCATGAAAAATCAAATCTCATTCATTCATTTTGTTAGATTTTAACGTATTCAAAAATCAAATAACAAAAAGAGACCAAAATATTTTCAAAATAGGTTTCAGAAATGAGATGGAACATTGTTAAAAAAAGAAGTCGTTTCAATTGCTATTTGAGTTACATTTGTAAGGAAAAAAATCAAAACACAAGAATATACAGAGAAGGAGCAAAGAATAAAAATTCATATTGACTCTTTCAAAAAAATGACAAATATGTACCAGAGTAATAAACATATTACATTTTAGGTTCCTTTTCCTGCTGAGCTTTCCTTAATGACTGGATTTTCTTTCATGACAGAAACATTCTGCCACAATTATTTGTTATCAATTTTTTCTTTGTTGTTGAATGGAATGAAAGCTGTAGTTATTTACATTCATATCTCCTACACTGAGTAAAAAATATGTTTAAACCTACCTGAATACGGTAAAATTTACCTTGTTTCTGCCTCTATGAGAACACCAAAAATCATGGAAATTATATCACGATCCCTGAGAGCATGGCAATAAAACCAATTATTCACTTGAATATACTTTTGCTCTTTTTATTTAATATGAGGTAATTAGAACTGTAATTTTAAAAAAGCAGAATTTTCGGTGCGCCGTTACCATATGAACGGAAAAAATACCAAATAGTTCAATACAGTATATTTTTGATTTTATTACAAAAAAATATGTTTTTCTGATTTTTTTAATTTTTATTAAAATTTTTTCACCTTAAATGTCTCTACCCTACAGTATAGTAATTTTACCAGAATTGTTTCTTCCATGTACAACATATTAAAGGTACAAAATTTACAAATATTTATAATAAAATCTGAAATTTATTAAGTTTATACACCATGGAAAATTCTGTCAGAAAAATCTATGATTAGGAACTGCTTTTTTAAAAAAATTATGCGCAGTTGATCTGAAACTATAAGTGTATCTCTTGAATATGCGCAATATGTACATTCTTAGTATATATGTCAATGAAAAGCAATCGACAATTCAAAAAAAAAACAAAAACTATTTAATAGAACTATTTGGAATTATGTCTCCCGTTCCTCACAATGCATGAGGGATATATTTACAATCTTCTCATAAAGATTACAATAGATAAATCAAGGGTCAGGACGTCTTTATGTTATTTATTTTTCTTATTCATTTAATTCATTATTCTATTAATTCATTCGTTTATTTTTTACATTTATTTATTCCATTTATTTATTCTTTTTATTCTTTTCACTTATTCAGTCAGTCAGACAGCCNTTTAACGTATTCAAAAATCAAATAACAAAAAGAGACCAAAATATTTTCAAAATAGGTTTCAGAAATGAGATGGAACATTGTTAAAAAAGAAGTTGTTTCAATTGCTATTTGAGTTACATTTGTAAGGAAAAAAATCAAAACACAAGAATATACAGAGAAGGAGCAAAGATTAAAAATTCATATTGACTCTTTAAAAAAATGACAAATATATACTAGAGTATTAAGCATATTACATTTTAGGTTCCTTTTCCTGCTGAGTTTTCTTTAATAACAGAATTTTCTTTCATGACAGAAAAATTCTGCCACAATTATTTGTTATAAATTTTTTCTTTGTTGTTGAATGGAATGAAAGCTGTAATTATTTACATTCATATCTCCTACACTGAGTAAAAAATATGTTCAAACCTACCTGAAATACGGTAAAATTTACCTTGTTTCTGCCTCTATGAGAGCACCAAAAATCTTGGAAATTATATCACGATCCCTGAGAACATGGCAGTGAAACCAATTATTCACTTGAATTTACTTTTGCTCTTTTTATTTAATATGAGGTAACTAGAACTGTAATTTTAAAAAAGCAGAATTTTCGGTACGCCGTTACCATATGAATGGAAAAAATACCAAATAGTTCAATACAGTATATTTTTGATTTTATTACAAAAAATATGTTTTTCTGCCTTTTTTATTTTTATATTAAATTTTTTTCACCTGAAATGTCTCTACCCTACAGTATAGTAATCTTACCAGAATTATTTCTATCATGTACAACATATTAAAGATATACAATTTACAAATATTTATAATAAAATCAGAAATTTATTAAGTTTTTATACCATAGAAAATTCTGTCAGAAAAATCTATGATTAAGAACTGCTTTTTTAAAAAAATTATACGCAGTTGATCTGAAACTATAAGTGTATCTCTAGAATATGCGCAATATGTACATTCTCAGTATATGTCAATAAAAAGCAATCGACAATTCAAAAAAAAAAAAACTATTTAATAGAACTATTTGGAATTATGTCTCCCGTTCCTCACAATGCATGAGGGATATATTTACAATCTTCTTATAAGGATTACAATAGATAAATCAAGGGTCAGGACGTCTTTATGTTATTTATTTTTCTTATTCATTTAATTCATTATTCTATTAATTCATTCGTTTATTTTTTACATTTATTTATTCCATTTATTTATTCCATTTATTTATTCTTTTTATTCTTTTCACATATTCAGTCAGTCAGACAGCCATTCAGTTATTTATTTATTTACTCATTCATCCAATTTGCTAGATTTCATCTTGTTCAAAATATTAATGGAAGAATGTAAATTTAGAAACACAAGTTTTAAAAAATATACTAACAGTAGAAGATTGTTTATAAATCAAATTTTTCTATGAAAAACAGTTTAATTTAATGAGTTCACCGAAATCATAAGGCATACATGCAGCTGACCATAACATGCTTTTAAACCAAAAATATTTAAGTTTTTTTCAAATTTAAATATTTCTTTAGTTAATGATAATCAAAAAAATTTCGAGTATTGAGGTCGGAAACTTTTATCATTTTTTTTAAAACCATGTATTTTTTATTTCAAAAATAAATATTTAAATGACATAGAGGAGACAAAATCTCCAAAAAGTTATACATTAGACATTTATGTAAAATTTTAAATTTTCATATTAAAAATGGCAAAATTTATTTTAAGGTTTACTTAATTTTTTTAAACCTTATAATTATATTTATGAATAGAAAAATAATCCATATCCGTGTTATTTAAAAATATAAAAGAGACTCAAAATATTTTTTATTATTACATAAAAATTTTAAATAATGTTTAATTTAAGATTTATACCTATTTTTTAGAAAGAAATTAAGCATTTTAAACTGTTAAGTCTTTCATTATTTCGATTTTTCTTTTATTAAAATAGAAATAACGTTGCTCTTAAATAAAACTATTCTTGAGTTTCCGAAATTTTTAAATTACTTACTAAAAATCTTCAAAGAATAAAGTAAACATGAAATATATTTATTATAAGAAATCTTTTTT